TCCTCACTAGCCAATCCTCTCGTTTCTTAGCACATGTATCAGCAGCAAGCCAGCCTTTGAATCTGAACTCCCCTTGCCTTCCCGGGTCCAAGATAGCGCTATTTTCGGGTTTTCATTTAATTAACTCTGGATCAGAGAGTCATTCACAAGGTAATGTATATGCGCACGCCCGATCGTGCAAACTCTACAAGTCAAGGCGAAAATGAGCGCGAATGGCGCGACCAGACCTGGTGAGTGTTGTTGTGTGGGGGTAGGAGTCGTGATCGTCATCATCCATATCACTGCCTGAGTCGGTGTCGTATTCATCCTCTTGATCTGGCACTTCACCAACGGCAACTATTTCAACCGCGCTATCGTTCATAAACGTGATGCTGGGTACGTGCGAGTCCCCATCGTCATCTGTGACTTGCGGCATGATTTGTTCCATTCCGTCTTGACCTTCAACAGTTGAGTCGTCGTGGAACATTACTTTGGAACGAGGAGGTTAAGCGTAATACACTGCTGATGGGAGAGCTCCGGCTCTGTCTTTTGTGGTTTCACTCCGCACTGTTCTCTGCCTCACAGGACAATATTTGTCCACCAACTCCTTCATCGCTACTTCAATTGGAGGATCTATCCCTGCAGCTGTTAGAGGCTTCATCACTTCAACATCTGCCAACTCCATGCTAGATGTTGGAACTGGATAAAACGATTTGTCATGTCACAGGTGTAAAGTATTTGGCGCTCCACCTTATCGTTCTTTTTAATGATTCTTTTGCAATTGTGCCAAAGTCTCGAGCATACAGTAAAGCTGTGAAAGTCTCGTTTTTAAAGTGGGAGACTGCATGAAGGCTTTCAACTACAGTGGTCAGTAACGAACGGTCTTTAAGGTCTTTTAACATAAGTATAAGTCACCAAATATAACAGTTATTTTTATTAAGAACAACCTGGGTTTGAATAGCAAAACCTTAGCTTTTCCAGTGAATATTGCAATTTGAAATTTTTTTCCTGCACTTTATGAATTTGAAAGATCAGTTGTCTACTCACCATTGAGTTCACTATGGGTTTCGTCAGAAACAAGAAGTGGAACTTCTATTTCCCATTGATGTTGCGTAAGGATATGTAAATTCTTCGTTTTCCCATGGGCATACCTGGCCAGCCGGTACAGTTTCAACTCGAAATTTCCCATCCCCAATGAGGTGGCTATTTGCGAAATACCAAGAAATTTGATCAAATGCTTCTTTGCGTCCGTTATATTTCTTTGCTCTTTACCGATTGGAATTCTGCTTCGATGCCTTTCAAAAGCATTTTCCTCGCCAAATCTGTAAAAGTTGACTAATACTTCCACAACTCCCACCTATGCGGACGTGGCGACATTTTGCATACAGAAGTCTGCTAAAAACCGCTGACCACAAAATGTCTAAAGAACTTATGCGCATGAGCACAAAGTATGCATGCTGACAAGTTCGGTCAGTTCCGCGCAGGTTCTTCTCCTTTTGTTTCTAGTTTTGCACCCTTTATCATAAGAGCAAAGTTTGAAGAATCTTAGTCCTTTTTTCTAACATTATTGCCTTCTCTATGAAACTGTTATTGATCTTTAATGAGTGAAATCACTGTTCTAACACCCTTTAACACTTAACAGTTAAGTTTTTTAAAACACTAAACATTAAAATTTTACAAATTTTAACACTAAACATTAAAAAAAAAAAAACCAAATAATACTTAACACTAAACCCCATCCAGATCCTCGTCTAGATGCCGGTCTAGATGGGAAAATCTAGACCGCTTTCAATATTGATTTCAGCTAATCAAATTCGTGGATTCGGTTGTTCCCAGTCCTTGTGAGACACAGCCATATAATAATAAGAAGTAACGAGTAAAATCACGTTTTCTATACCTTGCCTTTACCGTGGAGGGGGACAGSGGGGCGGGAGAGGGAGGGAAGCGGGCGAACAAGGGGCGGGAAGCGGTATCTACATGAGGGCGGGAACCGGGAGCAGAAATAAATAAGGCGATAGTTTGTTGTTTATCACTGGGTATTACTCAGTCATAAACACATATCTAGCAAGGTTTTTAAATTTCCAGTTAACATCTACCAATGCTTAAAAAACATTTTCGGAGGCAAGAAAACGAGTTTGTACCAGGGCTGGAAAAACAGCATTACTTCCGGTAAATTTGTGAATCCCTGCAAATTGATTACGTCATTAGTCATGAGATAGCATGGCATGCACAGTGTCTGGTAAGTTGTAGCTGTCGAAAATCTCCAACAAAGAAAGTGATTCAGGGTCATTCAGGTCAATTGTGACAAATGTCGTCAAAGACCATATTAATCGGTCTCAGTATTTTCCTTTGTGGCCACGAAAAATCCGTTCACGGAAGACCTTCTTGGGAGCTCGCTCCCTATGACTGCACCTCCCAGATTACTGAAGGTTTTACCTCGTGATGCAAACTTGTTTCAAAGGAATGCCACTTCAGTGAGCGCACCGGAGAGTGCAGAGTGGCCCACTTTTCGACGTAGGGAACCCCAGCTAAGAAGACGGTCGCCTCATTAACTTTCATCAAGAACTTCCTCCATCGCCTCCGAACGCGATTAAGTAAATAATGTCCTCATCTGCTCGAAGTTGTTGATGTATGAACATTTCTTACACTCCTTAACGAGTATTTCAATAGTGAAATGCGACAGGTGACAGACACACCTACTGTGCTGGATTGTGCGATGTATTTCGTTGAGGCAGCAGATGAGGCCTTAAAGAGAATTGCTTGGCCTAGTTATATTTACTTCACTCGGGAGAAACAACACTATGAGCTACCATCAAAGTTTTCAATCAAGTACGAAGACTTACTTCCGGTGCCACGAGAGCCAACTAAGTTCCTGAATAAAGAGGACAACAAACGCCTCAACGATTGGAGAAATGAATTTGGACGAGGGGTCAGGCAACAGTCCGTGCGAAATTCTTTCACGAAAGACAAAGCTGGCACTCTCCCCTTCTACTGATATGTACATTTCAGTGGATGCACACGACAGCACCGAGGAACAAGCTCTTACATCAATACAGGAGCTTTTTAAGACTGTGAGTTCCATTCTAAAAAGAAGGCAGATACACCAGTGCATCCATCAGGTACTAACTATAGAAGCGATGTAGAGCCCGTACCCTTGCCTGGGTATGATCGCAAGACGTATCGGTCATCACATACTGGAATTTACGCAATCAAATGCAAATCCAACTTTTTCTCTATCTTCATTTCACGTGCGATAGATGCAAATGATTTCTTTGGTACTACATTTGCCATAATAGATGAAAGCTGTTTTCTCTTCGAAACATCTAGCGAAGAAACAAAATGCAAGAAAAGTGACGTTATTTGTGAAATTGGTGGAGATTCGATACGATTATTCAACGGTCGTTTGGAGCTAACTGAAGAAAGATTTTGCCAGATCCTTTCAGACTGCCGAGGGGAATGTGATTTAGAAACAAATGAAACTTAAGAAAATCAAGAATGTTATCTTGACTCAGAGGAAGAGGAGGCTCTAACCAAAACTTGGAGTAGGAAGAGGTCAGTGCGGCCTCCCCGGCGCATGGAAAACTTTTTCTAACCGCAAAGGTTAAAAGACGATTTCAACCCATCGAACAAATCTGATAATCGGTTGAACAAGACTGTTCAATCATGCTTCACTAGCAATGAAACTGAATGCTGAAAATGCAAACGGTTCAACAACTGATGTACTAACTACGAATACTTAGTCCTAGTACGTCAAAAAGGGAAAGCAAGCACGAATACAGAAGAAGCAAACTCTAAACAATACGTCTACCTCTTGATTTTTTCATTTGATTTTGAATTGGCAATAGCAATTACATCACATAGTGAGCTGAGACTTTCGTCTCTATGACGAGATGTCAGAAGCGACGATCAAACAGTGATAACCCGGTTAGTGAAACTTAGTTTAGTAAGAAAACTGACCAGTAGTAGCTTTCATCGGGAACTAATGATCCCCAGCCAAAACAAAGGCCAGCCGAAATGAACAAGAATATTAACTTTTAGCTCTG